ATTGTATACCATGTGAGAAATAAATCGAATTTGGTTGTACTAAATACATGAGAAACAAATACAATTGCTATATTTCCAAGTTGTTAAGCATGCTTGGTTTGGTTAACTGTCTGATCTTCTATTAGGAGTATGTTATATTATGCAATATGGTGCTCAGTTAATGTTTGGTTCATTTGTTGTGGTGTTTAGCTAACTTCTTGGTTCAATTCTACACTGCGATGTCCAATTGTCGTGCGTAGAATTTTGTATTATTGTGCATGTGAGGAATAAATCAAATTTGGCTGCACTTAATACATGAGAAACATGTACAAGTGCTATATTTCCTAGTTCTTAATCATGCTTGGTTTGGATAAATGGGTTTTTCATGTGGCTTGAATTAATCTGATGAATCTGCAATGTGCTTATTTTTCATCAACATATTTTACTGATAGCATGGGAACCCTTACTTAACCTGATGACTAACTACCTTATATGTGTTGCAGGGAAATAATGGGAAGCACTGAGGTTTACAATCGAGGTTAGCACGAGCATGGTCCGTTGTCTAATAGCACATTATTATGCAATTGCAGGAACCATTCTAATATTTAGGTTTTTAACAATTTGGTCTTGCACATGTATGTCCTGCTGTCAGAGGTTTTGACCCACTGTTCGATCCTTTTTGCATATGGGGAAATGAGTTATCCATGAATATCTGTCAAGCCAAGAAACTCAGAAAGATTGTTAGGATAAAGAAATTAGTGACCAAAAACAACAAGATCTTTGTCTGCATAATGAAGAAGACATCAGTTCACTACAGGATGGTACTAACTATTATACCTTGCTTTTTTATTCCTTTGCCCCATTTCCAATATAGAGAAGATATTTATGCACATCCTTGTTTTCAGGCCTTTCCAAAGCAGTTCACTAATGATTACCTCTGAAACCACCTGTATGGTCAGGAGGCGAGGAAGTTATTCATACAACACCCACAGTTCAATATTGAAGTGTTCCTGAAGAGGACGAAGGATGGACGGTCAATCATCCACAGGCACTGGCCTAAAGTTACAAAGACCTTCAACATCAATGAAGGCTCAATATTCGCCTTCTACTTCAGCAGTTTTCTAGATGAGATACATCTATCGATGTACCGTCTATGATGCTAATTTCGAAAGGTTATAGATGTTGCATGTGAAACTTGGTCCTGGTGTAGTTGTGTAATGGGGTAGCTGAGTGCTGAAGCTATATGATGTTGTACTCTGATGTATTTCAATTATGAAAATGAAATATATTGTATGCTTAATATGAAATGTCAATTAGATTAATAAATGGATTATGAATAATCAGATAATTAGCCTGCTAATGGAGAATTAGCCTGCTAATTGGGTTTTGCTATTGCAAACGGTTGTTGAAAAAATACCGTGGGCGATGATCTCAGTCAACGCACACAGTTTCTAGAATAAACCGTGTTGGATAAATAAACAATCACACACGACTTTTTCTTGAAAACTGTTTGCGTTAGGCCACCATGCACAAACGTTTACCACATAAAAATTGTGTGTGATGGACAGTCTTTGCCACACAGTTTCTTATACGGACCATGTGTGATATATTCAATAACACAAACGATTTAACGGGAAAAATTGTGTGTGATGTACCTGTGAACGGAAACGTTTTCCTTGGAGCGACTGTGTAGGATGTACATACGAACGGAAACATTTAGCGGGGACTAACTGTTTGGGATGTACTTGCGACCGGAAACAATTTTGCAGTATAATTGTATTTTTTTTAAATCTACTATATGTATTTCCGTATTTGAGCGCTCGCCGGTCGCACACGACCTCATTTTACCGAGCGTGTGTGCCAGGAGGGCATATCCCCGATAGTTTTTGGGTCATGTGGGAAGGACCCCCCCCCCTATCGCTCACACTCACTTGGCGACGGTTCCAAAGGCCGTCGCGGAAGGGGGTTAAAAACCGTTTGTTTAGGAGCTCGTTGTACTAGTGTCTACATAGTTCTCAAACCCGTAGTGTCCGCACGCTTAACGTTCGATGATGATCGGTATTATGAGTTTATGTGTTTTAATGTACCGAAGGTTGTTCGGAATCCCAGATGTGATCACGGACATGACGAGGAGTCTCGAAATGGTCGAGACATAAAGATCGATATATTGGACACCGAAAAGGTTTCGGATGAGTTCAGGCATTTTTCGGAGTACCGAGAGGTTACCAGAAACCCCCGGGGAGTTAATGGGCCTTAATGGGTCATGGTGGAAGAGAGGAGGAGGCGGCCAAGGTGCCCCCCAAGCCCAATCCGAATTGCGAGGGGGGGTCGGCCCCCCTTTCCTTCTCTCCCTCTCCCTCTTCCTTCTTCTCCTACTCCAACTAGGGAAGGTGGGAAACCTACTCCTACTGGGAGTAGGACCCCCCCCCCCTTGGGCGCGCCATAGAGAGGGCCGGCCCTCCCCTCCTCCACTCCTTTATATACGGGGGAAGGGGCACCCCATAGACGCACAAGTTGATTGTTTAGCCGTGGGCGGTGCCCCCCTCCATAGATTTCCACCTCGGTCATATCGTTGTGGTGCTTAGGCGAAGCCCTGCGTCCATAACTTCATCAACACCGTCATCATGTCGTCGTGCTGACGAAAATCTCCCTCGACCTCAACTGGATCTAGAGTTCGTTGGACGTCACCGAGCTGAACGTGTGCAGATCGCGGAGGTGCCGTACGTTCGGTTCTAGGATCGGTCGGATCATGAAGACGTACGACTACATCAACCGCGTTGTCATAACGCTTCGCTTTCGGTCTACGAGGGTACGTAGACAACACTCTCCCCTCTCATTGCTATGCATCACCTAGATAGATCTTGCATGATCGTAGGATTTTTTTTGAAATTACTGCGTTCCCCAACAGGCCACTCTAAAAATGGTACCCTGGAGTACTTGGGGGACAGAGTATGGGAAAAGGTGAAGGGATGGATGGAGAAACTTTTATCGGCTGCGGGTAAGGAGATTCTTATAAAATCAGTCGCTCAAACAATACCAGTGTATTCCATGTCATGTTTCAGGCTGCCAAGGGGACTTTACGAGAATGTCACAACAATTATTCGTCAGTTCTAGTGGGGAAGCAAAAGAGGGAAGCGCAAACCAACTTGGGTTGCATGGGATGTTAGGACCACTCCCAAACATATGTGCGGGCTTGGTTTTCATGATTTGGAGCTCTTCAACCTAGCTTTATTGTCAAGACAAGCCTAGAGGTTACTGAATGATCCTGGTTCTTTGAGTGCAAGATTGTTGTGAGCCATATATTGAGTGTACCAGAGATACCTTGCGAAGTTTGCAATCTGTTCCTCCTTCCCGACCTTGGTGATGGTGAGAGTTTCCGGCGGCGCTTGGCTCGTCGGATCGAGGTGGTGCGCCATCTGGGCGACCTTGATTTGTGGCAGCACGATGGCTTTCCACATGAGGAAATTGTTCCTCATGAGCTTCTCCTGCGGTAGTGATCCAAGGGAGAAGGTGGATGTGGAGGCGAGGGAGGTAGTGAGCGCACTCATGGTGCTGGGTTGGGTGGAGGCCGAAGTCATAGCGAGGCGAGGTTTTGGGGAAGACTAGATGCGATCTCTTCTCGATCAAGATGCTCTGATTACCATGTAAATATTGTGGGAAGAGTTAAACCCTTTTCTCGGGCCGCGATTGTATTTATATTAGGGATGCCGTGGCTTACAAGTCTAATGATCGAGAGATCGATCGTGAAGTAACAGGAGAAGGTCGGTACATGAGGAGATAAGCAGAAGTAGAGATAGGAGAGGATTCCAACATGTATGACTTCCTCCATTGCACATTCATCACTCGGCTC